TACGTAGTACGTAGTACGGACGTACGAGTAGTAGTACGAGTAGAGTAGAGAGAGAGAGAGAGAGAAGAGAGAGAGAGAGAGAGAGAGAGAGAGAGAGAGAGAGAGAGAGAGAGACAGACAGAGAGAGCTCCCTGCAATCTCTTGCAGCTACTGTGTTCAACTCATGAGACAGAGAGAGAAAGAACAACTCTCAATTTCCATGGAAGAAAGAGTTGAGAGAGGATTAGAGGGAGAGAGGAGAGAGAAAGAGATTGATTTAAAGGGACCCTGTTAATTTAATGTAAATATCAACGGCACCCAGTCTATTTTTTCCGTTAATTGTGGAGAGACTGATAGTTGGTGGACAGAGGGAAATGGAGGTGCATGCATGCCTCCTTTCTCTCTCCTCTTTTGGGATTTTCACACTATGCACCTTCCCCTCCTTATTCAGGAATACAGCAATCTTGAAATAAATTGTGATTAATTAGTAAATTCCAAGTGTCATTTAAGGAGTAGATGTCTCATTTCATTGTTTTTTTCCTCAATTTATTATTTCCTTTTTAAATCTTCTTTCCAGCACCTATTGCCACAGTTCCCCCCTTTACTTTTTTTAAAAGGAAATTGATTTTTTTTTCTTCAATTTATTATTTCTTTTTAAAATCTTCTTTCGAGCACCTATGACCTATTGCCACAGTTTCCTCCTTAAAAGGAAATTGATTTTGAAACCCAAATGTGCGTAACCAGGAAGAACATGCACGACCATATTGTACACTTAATCCCTTGGGTGACAGAGCTAGATAAGAGGAGTTTTCCGACGATAAATTTAGGGAACCAAGTGAATATTTTCAGAAAAAATATATGAAAATCAGAGATTGAGTTCTTCATATAGATTTCACTCTCTATTCAATCTTGGAGTATTATTATTTTTCGTAAATATCTAATACAATTTGAAACTCCTTCTTTTTGAAGTTAGTCGCTAGGTTGAAGAGGTTACATCCCAAAATTTGGGTTCCTCATAAAACTTTTTAGATTGAGATTTACCCTAGGCAATAAATCAACAATATGCTCCCCATGGTAGCGCAAAATCTTTTAACATTACGAATAGGTAGATAAAAGGATATTAGTGTGGTGTTTTTATTGAGCCCAGGCTCTAAACAATCAAATTATAACCTACCTTCAAATAGCGTCGAGAAATATAGTTTCAATATTGAAAAGTTTTGTGAAAGCTTTAAATTATAATTTTATCTTTAGTTATAAAATTTAAAGTTTCAAAAATAATGTAATCGAGCAGATCTATGAAAACTTGAAAATCTTAAAAATTGACGGTCCAAAAATACGTTGCAAGATACATTATTTTCAAAACTTGAAATCCATTTTTTTCTCATGTCCATGCATCTTGATGTCGAGATGATCAATCGGATGATATTCGGGCAACAAAATAACCTCTTTTATTAAAAATTTTGAGGTAAGATTTAATTTGATTGTTCAGAGCCCAGGTCCTATATAAACTTTTTCCTATTACTATAATTATTAGACATATCATAGAGAAAAATAATATAAAAAGTAAACTGACAGAAACATAAATATTTAAACAATATCCTCGCACAACATATAGAGCCAGAATCTTCCTATTTAATAGTTAATATATGTATTTTATTAAATATGAGTTCATTCCGAGTCACCTATGCAGGATGCTCATGTAGAGGGAGGTTTGGAATCTGTACATTAAATTAAGAAATGTATCAGGAGGGCATTTGGGATATTAAAGAAGGATGGTAGGTTGAGTAAAGAACAAAACAGAGAAGAAAGAAAATTAGAAAACGAAGGTAAAAAGTACAGATTGAAGGAAAAATTGACAAATACTGCTTAAAATTTTGTAATTAATTCTCCCTAAGAATCGACCGTCCATTACAACTATCACCTTGACTAAAAAGTTTCTTTGGGCCCAAGGTAGGAGATTGACCTAAGTAACGGAAATTTCAGTCAGGTCTAAAAAGATGCGAAAATAACCCGCCGTCCTGATATAGGTGGCACCACAACTTCGGGCGTCTCGAGCCAATTTTTCTTTCATTTTTTTCTTTAATTTTCGTTATTTTTATTATTTTAGGAAGACTTAATTTTGCAGTATATTTTCTTTACTTTGACAAAAAGACCATCCTGGTATTGCCAACAAATTAAAGGGAAATTGGTCTTTCAAGGTCCGTTAATCTTTAAATCGCAATTTGACCGTTCCTACGACATCTCTATCAAATTTTAAATTAACTAGTTCTATAGTGATAGATCAAGGAATTTCAGATTTGAAATTCTCTCGATTTTACCCTATAAGTAATATTATAATCATTATATATAAGACGGATATGTCTTATATTTTATGCCAACTCTGGGTATAATATAGGTGTTTATGATTTATTTTTATTTTTGTTTTCTGTATTTGTCTATATAAAACAAGCTTTATATTCGTATTAGTCAAAGACATTGAGTCTCTTTATATAAACCTGCCACGCTGCACAATAAAAATTCTTCTTTTTTTAATTGTTGTTTCCATCTTCTTTATTTCCTTTAACGATTACCTAAAACCAGTGTTTAAAAAAGTGCCGAGTCGAACCGGACTCGCTCGATTCGACTCGAAAATCGCCATGGACGGCTCGAATCGGCGAAAAAAACGGTAATCGTCCGGTTCTAGAGAGAACCAGACGATTCTGTACAATGACTCGCCGATTCACTGTACGGAATCGGCAAGTCCCTTATGGTAATTTTTTTTTTTTTTTTTTTTTTTTTTTTTTT